AAAACATTAGTGATTATTTAATAAGAAAAGGGTTGGGTTTAATTGGCGAAATAGATGCTAGGAAGTTATTCCCAAAACGTGTGTGATAAAGTACAGAGTAAATGTGGAAGTAAATAAATAAGTCCAGTCCAGATTAAATAACGACAAGAGTGGGTTCATGCCCAATTGATTAATTAAGTAAATGAAAATAAGTATGAGCTCATCCGTGCGCCGTCCATCTCCCCATCGTCACTACTCTCCAGGGTTGGCACCTGCACCGTCATGTTTACCTGCGTGTAGCAAAAACAACTACACGCTCAGCAGAAGATGAGGAGTGAATCTAACAAAAGAACATTAATTGATAACCCATATGGCTATACACATATTAATACCTGTACTTAACGTACGGGAACCCCATGTTTACTAATTATTTAGTTTTCACCTGTTTGGCTATTGCAAATAACAAGATGAATGGAAACATACAGGATGATGATATGACTTGATGCGTGACTTAAACTATCAGGGACACCCCTGGCTTAGTCTCACTCGACAGGATTACCCTGCACTTCGGTTATCGCACCCGAACGGTAACGAGGCGGGCACGACGAAGATGTCGCGAGTGGACTAGCAAAACCGGGTAGTAGCCGTAACCTGACTACTATGTACGTACACAAGCCCAACGTGATGAAAACCCGTTGGACCCCAAAGGTTCCTGGACGGGCCCACTGTAGTAGGCGCACAAAGTCCTCCCTACAGCGGTATATCTTAGAGTTCTTCTAGATATCCTTACAATCCAAATCATTTCATAATCATCAACATATTCATTTACCTGGTCATGTACGCTGACTAGGTGCTCTGTCATCTCCTCAGCTTTTGGATGAATGTGCCCCACTCGTGGAATAGGGGTTAAGTCCAGCACGCCTGATGGGTTCTGCCCCAAGACAACCTGAAATGGGCTTAGTCCAGTGGTCCTATTCATCGATCTGTTGTAGGCAAACTCTGCTTGAGGAAGAGCCAAGTCCCACTACTTTGGTTTTGAACCTACCTAGCAACGTAAAAGATTCCCCAAGTTTCGGTTTACCACCTCTGTCTAGCCATCAGTCTAAGGATCATATGCACTGCTAAAGTTCAGGTTGGTGCCTATCTTCTCCTATAAACTCTTCTAGAACTGGCTCATGAACTTTGTATCACAAACTAAGGTGATAGAACAAGGAAAACCGTGCAACCTCATGATCTCCCTGAAATATAGGTGGGCAATCTGCACAGCATCCATGGTCTTCCTGCAGGCTATAAAATGTGCCATCTTGGAAAACCTGTCAATAACAACAAAGATAAAATCTTCCGCTCTTTGGGTGCGGGGTAATCCAAGCACAAAATCCATGCTAACATCAAGCCGCGGTGCTTCAAGTACAAGCAATGGTGTGTAAAGACCTGCATTTTTCAGAACTCCCTTTGACCGCTGGCATACATAACAACTATCTACAAAATGAGTCACATCTCTTGGCCAGTAAAAGACAGCTGACACAAGAGCAAGAGTCTTGTCCCAACCAAAATTTCCTTTGTTGTGCAGTTCACTGAGAATATGTTGTCATAGGGAACAATCTTGGATACACAACTGTTCACCTAGGAAAAGATAACCGTTATGCACCACAAATACATGGCGCTGTGCTGAAGTTACCTCCAAATAGATCATCCCAAAAGATGGATCAACTTCATACATGTCTACAAGCACATCAAATCCTGTCACTCAACTGCTCATGGTGGAGAGAAGAGTGTTGCATCGACTCAAGGCATTAGCGACACGATTGATATACTACCGCACTGGTGTTTGAGAGCAAAGGTGAACTCCTGTAAGTACGCCACCCACTTGGCATGTCACCTATTGATCTTGTGTTGGCCATTAATATACTTCAAAGCATC